ATGCTCCATGTCATGGTCGTAAATATCATAGATTAGCTATTGATTCAAAATCAGAGGCTCAAGATTTAGAAGAAAAACTATAAAAATTTGTTGATCTAAAATTAAGATTTTTTTTATCCTTTTTATAAATTAATGAGTAAACCAAAATAATGGAAGAATTTATATAAAAAGTAGTATAATCAAACTATTAAAGTGCTAAGATAACTGATTAATAATTTACAGATTATATTTTATTTTCTCTATCTTCTACTTATGTAAAATCATAATCAATAAATGTAAAGAAAGATTATTCATATGTCTTTTAAGCTTAATATACAAAACAAAAAGAAATGATTTATAATTATAATCGTTAGACTTAGAAATATTATGATATAATTATTGAATAAATTTAAAAAACAAAAAAACAAAATTAAACATTGTTATTTATTGAAAATGATGAATTTGAAGTTTTTAAAAAAGGTTAATAATCAGAAGTATTTAAAGGATTTGATTAAAAAAATAATGTATATGTTGTGATAAAAATTCCTTCATAATTTATTAAAAAATACAATTAAAATGCATTAACTTAAGCAGATATTGATGAAGCAAATTAAGTTGCAAAAACTAAATATATATAATAATTGATTGCAAAATAATTGAGTCATCATTTCAATTTCTGTTGCAGTACTAGCAAAAACACTTAGTTTATACCTCTTTATTATGCAACTCCATATTTATATGATTTAGAAAAACCATTTAAGGGTTTGAAATTCATATATGCAGAAAGTTATATTGATATTAATGAAAAATGGAAAAAATACACTAACAATACAGAATATAAAGATGAATAAATCAATTTAACTGCTTTCTCTCATTTTACATATGAATATACTTTTTAGTAAATGATAATTACAGATTTATAGGGTAAAGCCAATATCTTATCAGATCCTGCAATACACACTAAATAGTATTTAGAAGATGGAACAAATTTATAAGATGATGGATGTTAGAAATTCTTTTTGAAATAACATCCAGAATGTTTGAAAATTTGTAAAATTCTCTAATTAAAAGATAGATAAGTATCCTAAAATTTATAGAATTAGGATTAGAATTCTATTTAAAAAATAAACTCTGATGCTGATACTCATTTCGAAGAAGTTGATAATAAAATAAATATCGATAATTTATACAAAATATGCAGTAATTGCAATACTTTGGAAAAATTACAAAATAATGATAAATTTAATACACTTTGTTTATGTTGTGAAGATAAAAAAAAATAAAAACAATAAATGATATGTTAATGTTGTAATGTTTCTTTTGAAGTATCTTATAATTATGATTAATTATTTGGAACTGTATTATAATATTGTCAAGATTGTTAAAATAAAGAATGCCATAAAACATATGAAAAGAATTGTTATTATTGTGGAAAAAAAATATGTTTATAAACAATTAAGACTATTACAGTAAATGAATAGATTAAAGAAATATGTACAGATGCTTATTTCTATTTAAGATAAGTTAAATGTAAATATTGTCATTTAAATTATAATTTTAATAAACTATTAAGTTAAGAGGATTATTATAATAATAACTATAATTGTGGTTGCAATAACAAAAACAAATGAATTTATAATAATAGATGCAATAAAACAATTATTAATTATGATTTATTTTCATATTTAAATTTCAGAATTATTATTTTATTTCAATATATTATTAAAAGCAAACTTCATTTTATTAAAATCTAATTAATAATTTTCTCATCTTAAATGTTATTATTTCAATTAAAGTTTCAATCATAAAGTAATTAAACTTTGATATGATGAAGATTCCTTATTTCAATATAATTTTCTATATTTATTCTATTTAGATTTCTATCTAACACTTTTTTCAAATCTGTAAAAAATAGATCTATAAAGAGACTATAGAAAAATTAAATACAAATATATGCAAATATAGTGGAATACTAAAATAATTATTATTCTAATACCTAAACTAAGTTAGCTTTATTGATCCCTTATAATGCCCAACGTAAAGTTCCTTATATTCCATCTAATATTATGAACCATTAATTATTAAAGGAAGAGAATTTCTCATAACTTCTATAGTTTCATCAGCAAATTATTACCATCCACTTTCAGCTGTAAAAATCAATATACCCATATACTTATAATAATCATCTGTTATCAAAATATTAAGATTCCCATAGCCATATATTATTTTATTCTCTTAATATCCCTATATCCCATTTAACTATTAACAAACCAATTTTTAAAAATTAAATAATTTATCTATATTTATAATAAACAAAAAATGTTTCAGACACCGTCTAAAGTGCTAAATCTACATTTGCATATAGAGTCTTCAAATTTAATGCCAAAATTGTTAGCTATAAAATATAACAATCAATATGGACTTATGTAAGTATTAAAGTCTTGCAAATATTATAAGTCTATATTTGCTATTATTGGAGTTGCAGGAATTACAACTAATATTTAATTCCTTAAATATTTTTCTTTTATATTTTGGTAATCAAATGAAAAATCTTGATTAGTTCAGTTGATATTATTACATATCGTGCTTCAGTGATTAAAATGTTATTATAAATAACTAATTTAAAAGTAAAGTGATAAAATGGATTATGGCTAATGGAAGAGTAATTAAACTTATTGCTAAAATTTTGGTTTGGATTAGAAACCATAAAAATACCCATATTGAAAAATTTGATATTAATTGTAATCTTAAAATGGCTAACCTTAGAATTGAATAAACTTTATGAACTATAATAAGATAATTTAACAAAAAATCATTCAACATTAATTATACTATGATAATAATAAATGTATATGGTAATCTTGTGCCTATTAATTCAATTATGTCATTAATTGGATTAAGTCTTTTATATAAGGCTGACATATTTTATTACTTACTCATTCTATAGTCAAGGATTAATGATCTTTAAATTTATTATATTAGATCATATAGACACATGTCAAAAATTTATGAATAAGAATTCAATAATTTAATCTGAGAAGAATCTTATATTTATTAAATGAAGAATAAAAATTTAAACAAAAAAGATCCTTGAAAAAATAATAAATAAATATTTAGTAATAAATTGGTCTACATATAGTTTAATTAGAATAAAAATGAACTAAATTAGTAACATAATCAGATTAAATTTCATAACATTTAATCAAAATTAATAAGATAAATTTTGAATTATTATGTGTATACATTTTATATTGAACTTCAATAAATTTATGTATAAGGTTATAAATTTTAGGTTAAAATTTACATTTATACATAAGATTTATGTATAAATAATACTTTAGTATTTTTTATATGAATTGTGAGTAAAATCAAATGAATCTTTGATTTAAACCATGAAGAAATAGTATTAATTATCAATAAATAATGATTTCTATTTAAAAGTTGATAAAATTCTTTTAATTTAGGATGCATTGTTTTATTTACTAAAGATGAATTATTTTATTCTATTCTTATTCAAATTATTAATATTATCATACTATATTAATTTGATTAATACTCTAAGATTAAACAAAATGAATTTCTATAAATTATATTGAAACTACTAAATTATTAAGTTCATAAATGTAGATATCATCAACATAAAAGCATGATATTATCAATTTATTAATAATATTTTTAATATTTACTAAAAATAAAACTTCTTCACGATTTTCATCATCTTCATTCATTATTTCTATCCATTACCAAATCAATTAAATTTAAAAGTTTCACATAAGTTTTTACAAATAATAATTCAAGAGGCATTCTAAAATATTAAATCATTAATACTCCAACGATTAATTTATATACTTTCCCAAGTTTATATTTTTGTAATTAAGCCTTTTTACCTTTACTTAAGCTGAATATTACGAATATGATAGATTTTGATCTTCAGCATGTAAGTATTCAACCTGTTTTTCTTTTTTCTCAAATCATAAATCTTTAACAATTCAGTTTAAAGCTCTTCATTATTAATAAAACCATCATTTTTGTATCAATATATATATAAATGCAATTATAGTTAACTAAGTTCATCAACACTCTTCTTCATTAATTGTCAGTAGCCTCTACTTCAAAATACTTAAAAATCCACTACTCATCAATTCTTATTCTTTGCTTAGGAACCTTAATTAAAATTTCTTACATTTTCTAATGATTCAATTCTTTACTGATTCCAATCTAATTCTTCAAAAAATCATAGGCTTTTTAAAGGACTTTGTCGTTGATTTTTTAATTAGCTTATCCAAAAAAAAGAGAATAACCACATTATGAAATATAAGTTATCATTTCAATAGCCAAATATCAATTAATTAATTTAGTTTTTTTATTTTATTTCTGATGCTTAATAATAAAACCCACAACAATCAATTAAAATTGCTAAAGAAAATTCTAAACTTATTTCAAGATGTTTTCTTTTTATTGGGATTCACTTACAACATTCCAGTTTTTATTATTTTACGTATTTCAGAATATTATCCTTTATCAATTGGAGAAGTCAACAATTACTAATCTTTAATTATTCGACTCTCTTTTATAATTAAGGTTTTTCTTATGTTATTACTTAAAGATTTATGATTGTTATTTTCTTTGATATTCTTATTCAAATTTTACACAGCTATTTATTATTTTATTACCCACGGATTTTAACAAATAATGTATATTAAATAATAAAGCGTTAAATTTTAATTATCATTTCTATAGTATATTTAATATATTGGATAATTTCAATTAAAGAATTCCTTCACTTTATTAATACAATAATCTTCATTTGTATGTAATTAAATGTTATTTAATCATCATATATGCTTTTTTAATTATAATATCCAATAGACTTTTATTCATCGATATTTCAAATAAAGTATTTTCATTATTGGACTATTTAAGAAATTATTAATTTCTTTATTAAACTCAAATTTGATACCTATATTATAATATAAACTATTCATCTAAATTAATATGAGAGAAATAAAAACCAATATTATTCATATACTAAATATAGGTATCACTATCATCTATAATATAAATTAATTCTGTAATTTGAGTTCATCAATTTTAATTAAATCTATTATTTCATTTTCTATTGATTTTTACTATTATTATTGTTGATATATGCCATTTGAAATCTATCTATCTTATTTTTTACTATTAATTTATCTTCTTCTTTTTTTCATTGATGAGGTTGTAGAATGCTATCTTACAATGGATAATTATTTATTAGGAATTATTTCCAAAGTTATATCACTCTCATTTTTTTCTTTTTATCTACTTAAAATAATGCTACATCATTATAATGAATATGATCTTATGCCAAACATAAATTTTTGATGGAAAAAATTTATCTATTATGCTTATATTTTTCCTTGTATTTCTTCAGCAAGATTATTGGATAAGTTCATTATTAATGTGAATTCATTTAGAAATGATGTCTTCATTCTTATGCTAATTCAACACTCTTTGGATTTAGTTATAAATAATCCCATTTTAGTTTTCAAAGTTGATTATTATCTAATACTATTATGTATTTAGTTTGTAATCAATATTCAATTTTTATACATAAAAATAAAAATAATATTACAGTCTTATTTTTAAGTTCTATTGATTTTCAATAGGCCACTACTTAACTTCTTATTTCTAATCATTAATAATAGTAAAAAATAAATTTTTGTCATAAACTATCGAAGGATTCATTAGATTCTCTAACAAAATTTTCAAAAATCTAATTTAAATATTGATATATAAATACTGTATATTACACTATTTGAAATCAATTATGAAATTTGTTTAAGTATGATAAGAGTTTTATTATTTATACTTAGAAAAATCAGGTATAAATAATGGATTATCAACAAAATTTGTTCATTAATTAATTTTGAAAATTGGAATTTTTCTTGATCATTTGTAATCTTATGTAATAATTATAATCAAAAATATTAAATTGTGCTTTATCTAAGTAAAGGCAAAGCTTTAGAATGCTGACCACTCTCTGAAAGTAAAATGCAGAAGCATAATTGATAGGAGATAACTTTCTTAATCTGTAAGGAATAACTTGTTAGCTTAAAGTCTTAAATAACTAACTTTATAATGTTTTCTACTAAATCTTCATTAATTTTAATAACTTTATTGTTTTCTTTTTAAATTGACTCTATGTTATTAAAAAGTAAATTTTAATCCTTATATATTATCATTATTATGTATTATTTCCAAAGGTTAAATTGATCTAATTTTGTTGGAGAGTAATTATGCCTTTAAATTGAGGCATAAGATTTTAAGTTTTAAACATTTGAGACTAGATTATTTTATAAACTTTGGATATTTTAGTTCTTGCATTATTAAAATAAAATAAATTATATATATTATTATGGTCTAGAATTTCAATTAAATTTGATCTTTGTAATTGGTATTACTTCCATTGGTTCAATAATCAAGTTGGTCAATACTTTTAGAATTATTTATTTACTTTATAGTTAATTTATTTAGTTTAAGGTAAAGATTTGCTATTGATTAAATAAAGATTTTAATTTTTAATTTCTGCCCTACAAGCCAATTTTTAAATGAATAATAGTGTAAAATAATTCAATTTATATTTATATTTTGTCCCTAATAGTTTTGTCTCTTTTTTATAATTATTATACGCTTATTAAATCTAATTCTATATTATTACATTTATTTATTAATCATTTTTCATTCTTCTTAAGTTCAATTGAATTGAGTTGATTTTGGAGTTTGGGAATTGAATAAATATTATTATTCTCGAGCTTTACTTAAATACCCGAACATTTCCTCTTAAAGAATTTCTAAACATAATGACTGTTATATTGCTATTTTATGAAAGCCACTAGACATTTGAAGGTCTTGGTAAGGTTCAAAATGAGGAACCAGTTAATAAAAGTATCAGTAATTTTAGATGTAAAGTTTCAAAATTTACATTAAAATTACATCATCAGTATCAGAACTTACTAATTAAGAAGAATGTTTTAAGGACGAGAAATGAATAAAAAAAAAATAATGTAGGTATTTCATTAATTTTATATCTATTATTGTTTCATTTATTCAACCTTTTTCGAATTATTTCATAATCTTTCATTATACGATCTAAGTCTTCATTTTGTGTTTATTTAAGTTTTAGAAATTCAGTATCTTTAGCTTTAATCTTTTCTTCTAATTATTTATTTTTTTCATTTTCATTTTATTTGAGCTTTTGAATTTCAGTGTCCTTAGCTCTATTATTGTATTCTAATAAGGTTTTTTCATTTTCTATTTGTTTGAGTTTTTGATTCTTTTCTTCTAATTATTTATTTTTTTCATTTTCATTTT